ATCTATCTATCTATCTATCTATCTATCTATCTATCTATCTATCTATCCATACTTACATACATGCACACAGTCTTGCAAATAGTGAAGTAGATAGTCACTTAGTAAGATGTTACAAATAATAATTAAATTATATCACATGCTCACCCACAGAAGTAAAAAAGAAGAAGTAATCTTTTTTTAATGAACTCTAACATAAATGTACAAAAGCATATCCAGTCCAAAAAATATTCATAAAACAGAAGCAAAGTTAAAATGACATTGCTAAACTTCAACAAACAGCTTCAAGTAGGATTCAGTTATCCAATTCCAACTACAGGTAGACCTTGATTAACAATAATTTGTTTGGCAATAATTTGAGGTATTAACAGCATTAAAAAAGTGATTGGTTCTCACACTTATGACTGTCACAGCCCCATGGTCATATGATCAAAACTTAGGCACTTGGCAAGCAATGTTTTTACAATGGCTTTAGCATTTCAGGATTATATGATTGCTACTTGTAAACTTCTGGTTTTCCAACAAGCAATGCCAATGGGGGAAGTCAAATTCACTTAATGACTGCATAGTTCACGTAACAACTGCAGTGATTTGTTTAACAACCATGACATAAAGGTTGTAAAATTGGGCACAACCCACTTATCAATTATCTTGCTTACCAATGGAAATTCTGATTCCAATTATGGCCATAATTTGAGGACTCCTTATATTGTTTTACCTAATCTCACTAAACGTCTTGTTCAGAAAAAATCTATAGGATGTTTACACAAACCCATTGAAAAATCATACACATTTGTGCTATTTTCCAGAAGGAATTTTTTGCCATTTTTAATACGAATGATTTCACTTACCATATTGTGGGTGGTTCAGAACCTTCTATTTCCAGGTAATCATATTTCTCTTCCATATGAAAATCTGTAAAGATGAGTGAGATGGTGTCTCCAGGTTCTGCCACAATTGTCCATGTACAGTCTGCATTATTGTGGTACTCATTTGGAAAATTAGGACTAGAGATGACACCACTGGAACCCCTCATTGTTCCTCCGCATGCATCTTCCGCTATCAAAAACAACAAATGTGAAGTATCCATTAGAAAAAAAAGTATTTGGAAACAGGTCTACTAGTGTACGACAAATATAATTATATAACTTAAGGACTACGGGAAGAAGAGAGTAATATAAACCAGGCTTACTTCATCAAATTTTCTAAGAATCAGCTTTGTTAGCATCTTTTTTTTCCCCACAGCATAATTTTATAATATGCAAAAAAGTGAGAAGCAAGACAAAATGAAACAGGCAATTTATTCCCCTCTCAATTGTTTCTCTTCTCCCTTATTGTCTTAAGAACTGGAGTCTAATGTTGCTCATTCTCCTCTTGCTTCCATTCTATTGTGCCAAATATTTTAGACAGCCATATTTGGGTCTTATAAGAGTGGTGCAGTGACCTAGAGGTGCAGCTCTCGCTTCACAAGCAGGAGGCTGTGAGTTCGATCCTAGATAGCGACAGATATTTCTCTCTCAGGGAACTATGAGTAAATATCAGCTGCAAACCCTGCAGTGCCAACAAAAAGGACATCCAGGCATTGTAAGGCATTCTATTAATCTTGTTTCCAGAGTCAATGTAAAATAAATCCATCTCAATGGGGCAAAAGTAAAAAGTCTAAAAAAATATTAGGCTGAATTGAACACAAGAAATATGGTCTGGTTATCTCTGGCTCATGGAACAATTGTTTTATAGCTGACAGCAAAGATTTCAACTTGTTATTCAGAACACATTAATGAAGTATGGTGATGAATAGATATAGAATCCATCTATTATTTGACAAGGTTAATTCCTACCTAGTTCTTCAACATTTGCATTCAATGTTGGTCACAATGTTACTTTCAGTTGAACTACTTTGGCTCTAATCTTCTAATTTAATTGGTTTGAGATTAACAAATACATGCCAGGCCTATGCTTATCAGTACATTTCCAAGCTTGATTTTATTTAATGAAGCCTCACTGAATTTAATATGCCTTATTCCATATTTTGGCCTTTTACATATTTAGTCAACATGTAATTAAAAGTGAGATAGTGATGTTCCCAATTCTGTATCATCTCCTCCAAATGATAACTATGTTAAACTGAGCAAAAAACACGAGGATACTTGTGTGTTGTGTGGATTGGTTTGAATGCCCAAATACAGGCAACAGGATTCCCCCCCCCCCCTGATTACTATTAGGAAAATTAATAAGAAGAGTGGCCATTTACCTTCCAGATAATCTAATGTTAATATGTAGGACAAGGATATGTCTGTTGTCTATTAATAATCCTGGCATAGCAATTGGCAACTGACAACAAACCCAAACAATCAACAGCTAGTTTAATTTCAGCTATGCAATTATCTGCTGATTCAAATAAAATGGCAGAGAAGGGTTTTCTACTAATTTGTTAAAAGAGATATTGGCTCAGGTATATGTCTTGTCATCAGCCCTACAAGATCTGGCAGGTTTGTTATGTAGATTTATAATAGAAGAAGATTTTTAACTAAGCTATGCCCGAAAACTGAAAAACAAAACATTTTGATTGTGATGACCATGTCAGATAATGGAATATCCTTGGGTAAAAATGGGAATTTCAAGACTTTTTATTGTTCTTATGTGAAATCCGTACACAGGACAAAAAACAGACTATTTCTACATCCAGCAAAAAAGTGTTACAAGAAGTATTCGCTCTACTAATTTATTCTATATACTGTATATGCTGAAATCAATATTGAGAGAGACCATATTAGAATCTGTGGCAATGCTTTTCCCTGTGATGCTCTATGGCAGGGGTGTCAAGCTTGATTTCATTGAAGGCCCCATCAGGTTTGTGTTTGACCTTGGAGTGTTGGGGTGAGTGTGGCCAGGGTGGGGATGGCCAGCTTGACGTCACTTGTATTGGGGGTGCCTGTGGTGGCCTAAGCACTCTACCAGCGAAAATGAGCTCCTGACCTCCCTTTCTGGCTGTGACAGCCTCCTGCAATCCTCTGCCAGTGAAAATGGAGTACGCAGTCCTCCCGAGCTTCGTTTTCCCTGGCAGAGGCACCGTAGGCTGGTCCCTCAGTGTTTCCAGGGTGGCTATGTGGGCCAGATCTAAGCACCCTATGGGATGGATACAGCCCATGGGCTTTGAGTTTGACACCCCCTGCTCTATGGAAATGAAAGTAGATTTTGAAGAAGCAAACTAGAAAGAATATTGACACTTCTGAACACTGGTGTTGGGAAAAAGTCAAGAAGAGCATTGATACCCAGGGTATCAAACTGATCCTAGAACAAATCAATCCAAATATTTCAGCCAAGATACCCATGACCAGGCTCAAGTGGTTATATTTTGGACCATTATGTGAAGACCCATTTTTCATATTCTTGGAAAAGATGGAAAGAAAAAGAAAAGGATGACCAGCAGAGACGTGGATTGACTCAATTACAGTGGTAATGGCTGTAGAAGACTGCCGAGGCCCTGAATTAGTTGAAAAAAATACCTTGTACCTGACATGAAAATATAATAGAGTATAGCAGCAGCATGCAGGTTTCTTTTTAATCCCAAATGTGTCTTTAAAAAGCTTCCATTTTTATCTCAGAACAGTGTCTATCTCATACAACAAAATGCTTTCAAGGATCTAGTCTCCTTTAATTTTTGTGAAAGCGTAATTATGCAAAGAACTTAAAATTCAGCCCTTCAGAATTTGACTTCTCACTATCACTTTTCTCAGAAATTACAACTAGGACTTGACCTATTCTGAATAGACCTTCAGCTACTTCAGCTATTATAGAGATTGCTTAGTAAGATTTTTTTTCCCCCATCTCTCTGTGTTCTGTCAATATTTAGCAGCCAGAATACATTTTCCTCTGAGAGAATTAACAGCAATGCAAATTGAGAATGAAAAGTAGAAAGTATGTTAGAGAGAAAAGACATTTGTTCTATATAGCATAAAATCAAAGCTGATGAAAAGAAATTTTACTCAAAAGTAGGAAGTCATCTAAAATAAGTTATTTTTTTCTTTCTTTCTGAAAAGGCCTACTTCTCATGTTCATCACTTATCTAACCTCATAGTAAACTTTCTGAATATCTCAGAACATAAGGAGATTGATCCTAAATCCAACAGCAATCAGTACAACTCATGTAAACTTACTGAAAACTTTGCTTCTAGCAACAGTACTTTAGTTACATTTTGTATCAGTCTATTTTGCAACTCTTAAGAATTCAAAACAGAATAGAGTAGAGTAGAACAGAGCAGAACAGAACAGGACTTGTCTAGATGAGTGTCCGTACTATATGGCTAACAAAGGCCTGGTCTATTCCTTTTAGGAACAGATATACTTAGTTACTAGCCACAACTGATACAAATACAAAGTCACCACCAACACAACTGATAAATCCACCACTAAAATATCCATGTTCTACAGGTAATATGGAGTCCAAGAAGATTATAAACTACAAACCTAATCCTTGAAAACAATATAATATTACTAGGACATGTGGGAAACCAATGTCCATATCAATAATTTTCAATATACACACCACAATTTTGACAATGTCCATAATTTTTAGAAGAAGGCTATGCTTTTTCAAAACACAACCTTCAGCCTTTTCAAATGATTATTTCTGTACTTTTTCAGTGCATTCTCAGTCCCTTACAGCTCTTTGAAATACAGTTATTTCAAAGTTTTCTTCTTGATTATTAATGCATCTCTGTGTGTTTCTATTGATGTACCATAAAATCATTATTACAATTTATTAATAGGATTTTGCACCTGCAAAAACAAAATTGATATGATTGAATACATGATTGCACCATCTGCATATCAGAGAAAGCACCCTATGAAACTAATGGCCTTCTTCTACATCTCATGTCAAAATTACTTTACTTATAAAATACAGAATGTGGGAATGAACACCAAAGCACTATTAAATGCTCTGGACTGTGCTGATATAAGTGTAAAACCAAAAATTGTTGCAATGCAAAGAAGGAAATAATTATGTGCAATTAAAACTTTCAAATCATCTTTCACTGGCTGTATAAAGCATTAAAGTTTTAATCACTAAGAGCAATTATAATCTGTCATTTGCAGATTATACATATAAACCCAAATTTGAGCAGAGACAAGGTTTTACAATTTTGGTCATTCTAATAATTTGAGTTTAACACTTCAAATAATTACTCTATTACTGAATACATTAAATATTCATATATTCATAACTTGTGTGAGCTTTTCCCATGGTCCAGATTAATGTATTATAGATTTTTTTAAAAAAGTCCTTCTATGCAAGAATAAGCATCCATCACTTCATATACACATTCCTCTTAGTGGGTAAATGTGAACATCTTGAGTTTTTTCATTATAGAATCTCTAAGAACAGACCTTCAATAAATCTTGGTTTATAAATACAAAGATTCATAAGTGTAAATGAATAAATCACAAACACAATCTACACAGCAAATCAGTAGATTGTATAACTGCTCCAGCTTACTTTTGGTTGATTTCAGAGTGTCTGTGTTCTTAATATGGCTGATGAATCTCCCAAGTAAAAAAGAAAATGACTCTATTTCAGAGGTTGGCTGCTGTATATGATTCACCTTCTTCCAGAAAAGCAAAACATGACTTGTGAGAAACTTATTATTATTTTTTTTTTGATACACTCATCTAAGAGCACATAAAACCTTGATAAAATTAGTAAAATCTGATATTTGGTGATCCTCTGGGATTCAGGCGACTTTAATTTTTAAAAGTCTTAAAGGGGTAAAACATGCAGTTTCTTATGGACCAGAACACTAATGCATGCAATGCCATTAATGCAAATGTTAATATACTGTAGAATTCTCATTTCCTGTCATTGATGTACATGCTAATACAACAGTCTCATTTCCATCAACAGTATTTTGAAAAAACTATTTTATATGAAAACATAGAAAAATAATTATATGTGGCTACTTTATGAAACTGGCAAATTTAATGTTGGCAGGAGCTTAGTTGCCTTTGCCATTGACAGATGCAAAAAAAAAAAAATCTGACCTATAAGACAGATATGTTTG